AGAAGGAAGATCTCGTGCAAGCCTTTGGGACAGATGACCAAACAGAAATTTGTAAGATGGTAGGTTTCAACCCCTTTGCAGTTCCCTGCTTTCTCAAAGCTTGGAGAAGATTTGAGGGCCACACAGATGTGGTAGGGTTGGTCTGGTACTGGGAGGGTTGTGTAGCGTGCAGTGCTGCTGTAGGTGCAGCAGTTGGTCATTTGTTAAGAAATGGGTAGGAAGGAGTGGTAATTCCATGGTATAGTCTTACATCGTCCGTGTGCATCTGGCTGAACAGAGTTGTGAGCGCTCTGTATCACGTACAGCTTCTGCGCACTGATGTCGATGGGCACAGGAAAACGGTCAACCAGTGCGGGAGAGTTTCTCACCTGAGATGCATTATGAAGGCTACAGGGAAAGGAAGGGACAGTCGCTTCCTTTGGACAGTTCAAGGAAGTGTTAATAACAGCTCTAATTTAGTCCTTCTGGGTAGGATGTGAACTGTGGACTTGTTGTGGGTGATGAGAATTCAAGTAAATCTGCGCTTCTCTTTACAGTTGAGTGTTTCTGTGGTGGGTTTTTTGTCTGAAGGTCTGAAGTCTCTCCAGTGCTGTCTGTCACAACGATGGACGTTATTAATATGGTTATTCTTTTTCTGCACTGCACATCTAACCAAACCGTTCAAGCACTTGTTAAATTTAACAGAGTTACAAGAGTTTTCACTCTTTAGGCTGTGATGTTTATTAAATTATGTGTTATTTACATAATATATTGTAAGTTATATGATAAATTATATATTCTAGTTAATATTTTGTTTTTCCTGTACAGATTTTATCAAAAGGGGAGCTGCAGGTATCGGACAAAGAACGACACACACAGCTGGAGCAGATGTTTAGAGACATTGCGACTATTGTGGCTGACAAATGTGTGAATCCCGAAACAAAGAGGCCATACACAGTAATCCTGATCGAAAGAGCCATGAAGGACATTCACTACTCTGTCAAACCACACAAGAGCACCAAGCAGCAGGTGAGTTTTCTTGCCAA